TTTTTAATTTTGTGTTGCTTTTTTTTATTTAATTAATAATATTTAGAAACAATACAGATAAACCAAATCCAACACCAATTTTTCCACCTGAAGATGATGGTAGACAACTACCCACAACAACAATTAATACTCTAACTACAACTATTAATCAACCTACAACAACAATTAATACTTCAACTACAACTATTAATACTCTAACCACAACTATTAATCTTATGACAACAATTACAACAATTAATACTCTACTAATTATAACCACTCCTTTACCACTGAGACCAACTAATTTTCCAAAAATTTTAACAACTGAAACATCTACAACAAGTAAACCAATTCTTTCTTTAACTATAAAACCTTCTAATGTAATAACAACACGATTTATTAATTTTATCAGTTGTCCAATTTGTAAAAATGAATTCAAAGAAAGTGAAATTGAACAACATTTAAAAGAACATATTAAAAATCTTTTATCAAAAGATACTGTTAATAATAAACTAGAGATAAAAAAACAATCAATTGCATTTGATAAAATAAAAGAATTAGTTAGTAAACTTACAGATATTCAAGTTAAAGAACTTATTGATAGAATTCAAAAACTTATTGAAAAATATAGAGAAAAATTTATCGATTATATTCCTGATGAAATGAAAGAACAAATTTTACTATTATTAGATTTTTAAATTTATCTGTTTTCTTTTATAAATTTTATTTTTAATTTTTTATATAAATATTGTTTTTATTCTTAACTTTTTTTTAATAAATTAAAATAACAACAACTTTATTATCAGAAAGATTAATTAATCTAAATAAAAAAAATAATAACCTTAAAACTGTAAATAATGACTTATTAATTATTAATAAAAACTACAAGATGAAATTGAAGAACTAAGAAAACAACTTTTAGATTATCAAAACTCTAATTATATATTATTAGAAGTAGAAAATAAAGATTTAAAACTTACAAATGAATAACTTTTAAGCAAAATACAAGAACTAAAAGGAAATAATGCAACAATATCTATTATTATTCCTAAAGATGATAAAAAGCTTTTAACTGAAATTAAAAAACTTTCTACATTAATTGATTACTTTTTAGTATTTAAAAATGAATTCGAAAAATTTTTATCAACAAAAAATATTGATAAATTATATATTTGGAAAATAGTACTATGGTGTAAACTTATTCTCAAAAGTTTTTATATATACTATTTTTGGAATACTTGTTGTCTTATACAAGAAAATAATATTGTTTGTTCACTTTCAAATGAAAGATTCATTCTTTATTTTTTTG